GATCCTGACTGACTGACTGGCTTTGACATCTTCATCCGTTCCGATTGCATATGGTTGAAACGATGCAGCCTAGCCAGATAAGTGAAGGAGGCGACCTCTGTTCAATCTCTCCCATTGTAGTTGGTGATTGGTGTTGGTTTTGTTGTTGTTGTTGTTGCTGTTACTGCTCGCTGGCTATCTTCATCACCTCCGTCTTCTCTCTGTATTCACTAGAAGTCCTGTCTTCGCTGACTGCTTCTTCTGACAAGTTGTCCACACGCATAATCCAGATCTTCTATAGTAGTCTTCTTATCGGTCGCCCAGTGTATTCCTGACTCCTCGCTTCCAACGCACAGTCTGACGCATAATCCGATCCACCACAATTTTTATTGTCAGGTCTAATGCAGTGTTTGTAGTGGTAGTGTGAGTAATCCTGAATAATACAAAATTTTTTAAGGTGGTGACTATGGCGTTCACAACCAATGATTGTCAGTTTAATATTGCCGAAAAGTATAGAAAATAAGAAAAAGCAACCACAAAACTAATAATTACATGATGGTTAATGACAGGACAATTTTGTAATACTCATAGTGCTAATAAAGTCGGATCCAGTAGATACACAATAGAAGGAATATAGTAAAGTACAAAAAGGAAGCCAATGTTAATAATTTAGCTACCTAAATTATTAACATTGGCTTCCTTTTTTGTACTTTACTGTATTCCTTCTTTTGTGTATCTACTGGTTCCGACTATATTAGCACTATGAGTATTACAAAATTGTCCTGTCATTAACCATCATGTAATTATTAGTTTTGTGGTTGTTTTTTTAATTTTTTTCGGCAATATTAACTGACAATCATTGGTTGTGAACGCCATTATCACCATCCAAAAATTTTGTATTATTCAGGATTACTCACACTACCACTACAAACACTGCATTAGACCTGACAATAAAAAACAAAACAACAACCCTGAAATGTTATTTTATGATTGTTTAGAGTTGTTTCAACTAAATTAACTGATCATCTTGGCGATAAACATTCTTAAATATCATTTCATAACTTCTTGTATGACTATAGCTTTACTGTCACCATGCATAAACATATCACAGCTTCCACTACCCAATACTGAGTTATTATTATATGCTGTTTATTTTCCTTTCTACTTCTTGATATTTTTTTCGCATTTTTAAAAATTATTTTGTGTTTTTCCTGTTTGTTGTTTTGCTGTTGGTGTCTTTATATTTATTTTTTTTGAAGTACTCCTTTTAAATATTTGATAAAATTAGATGCAAATATATTGTAGATATGTGCTGAAAATTCCACACTGTACCACTAGTACTGTTTCTGGAATAAAGCAAATTATTATTATTATTAAATAAAATAAAATAATTATCATCGTCGGTAATAATAGACAGCCAGCCAGCCAGCCAACCAGCTTGTCTTACTCCTGTATGCACTTCGAACGCCTAACTGAGTTTTCCGTTGTGGATCACTGACTGACTGACAGGTGGCATTGGCTATCTTTTAGTTTACGTATATATTCACATCTGAAATATTCATGGATCACACTTTTTAGCTCATTAGTTAGTGCAAGTTCTTTTCAAATCAATTCTCCTGAAACTAAACTCTACATACATATTGCCTATTTGACCAGTGGATTGTGTCTAAGTGACCGGATGGCCGACAGGCTGACATCAATGTCCCGCGGGTTTCAGTTTGTCCCTGAGGTTATAGGTATATACTTCTGAAGAGTCCCATACTAGGACGAAACAACTGTCTAGTACCCTCATATGCACCCTGATGATAAAAAAACAACAAACGACTAGGATAAAAACTTTTTAGAAATTTATATCAATTCATGATAAGATTGAGACACATTGAGAAGAAAGCACACTCTAAAAAAGTTTGAAAACTATAGAACTTATTATAATAAAGGTTTTTGTATTTCCCAATGAATGAAAAAGAACAAAACGATATTGCTGTTTTTACTGACGTTTCGCTATTTAATGCTAATAGCTTTATCAAAGTATTATTAAATCGGAATTTACAAAATCCACTCAGCTTATATATAACAAAGATTCAAGGAGTGAGAAAATAGACAGGTTAGGTCAAGTTAAAAGGAGGACATATTGAGGGTCAAAATAACAATGAAGATCAATCACTAAACCAAATAACAGAGGTAATAGTACATCTGCCCTGGCTGGTATCAAAACAAAGTTTACTAACTTGATCATCGTTCGTTATCAAGTTGGTCAATTGGTAAAGATAACAAAATCAAGTGTAGATGACTGTTGGATTTGATCAGTTTGTAAAATTATAAAACAGCTTATCACATTCGTGTTGATTTTGTCATTTCATTGGGGAGGGGTTGGAGGTGTTGTAACCAGGTCAAATTCTGTTTTAGTCCATCATTCCTATTCAGTTCAGACAATTTGGATTCCACTTGATATAGAAGTGCTTCTGATGATATGAGACGTTCTTTGTGATTTCTGAAATGCTTTTTCTGGATGACGATTTCAATATTGTCAAAATCAATTTTGTGGCCTGATTCTATAGCATGTAGACAAGCTGTGGCTGATGATTTTTCAAGCTTTTCTAGTTCAACTGGATTTATTTCTCGGTGCACTACGTACGGTGTTCATTTCTTCTGATTACCTTGATTTCTCTCTAGCGATGTTTGTCCGATGTATATCGCATCACATTCCAAGCAAGCATTTTATTTTATTTTATAGACACAATTAGTAGATAGAGAATCTTTTAGGGATTTGGTCTTTTATATGGACAAGGTTGTTTTGCAGTGTGCCTGTCTGATGTTTTGAAGAAAGCTCTAATGTCGAGCTGATTGAGTACTCTTCTGATGATATCGTGTGACGTCTCTACTCTATATGGAATGACGACCGGTTTAATAATACTTTGATAAAGCTATTAGCATCAGTATTAAATAGCGAAACGTCAGTAAAAACAGCAATATCGTTTTGTTCTTTTTCATTCATTGAGAAATACAAAACACGGAATATACACATTTGATCATAGGGAATAAAAAGACAGTTGCAGCGAAGAAAATTTTCTTTTCGACGAAGTCATCATCTAGGCTGTACATTCGTGTATTTATATCAAATGGATGGGAAAGTTACAGAATAATTTCTAGTTAGGGGTTGAATTAATAAAAATTACAATTAGGAATTAGAATGCCATAATAAACAGGGGGATGGGTAAAACTCAAACAAAGTAGCATAATAACTAAGAAGATTGACATTGTGCAATTGGGGGCTAGAAATGTAAAAATAACAAAATATACAGGATTTTTGGATAAGAAACTAGTGTGATGAATAATTGTTTATGTAATCAGGGATTAAATATGTAGAAATAATAAAATGACAAAATAAACAAGAAGTGTGGATATGAAAATATGGTAGTGTAGACAGGGATTAAGAAAAACTTAAAAATAACATGAATAAACAGGAAGTTTAGATAAGAAAGGCGATGAGATTGTCATTACTAAAAAATTTTACCTGTTTATGATGGCCATGGTAGGGACACGGGTTGAATGTAATTCTTTTGGATACAAAGGGTGGGTTTGAGTTTTTGGATAGCTAACGCCTCAGCTATGCCCAAATGTCTTGATTTCACTCCCTTTGATAGGTTTGATTGAATCTTGTATATTACTTTGAAGGACTTTTCGAAAGGCGCTGAATGTCCTGAGTTGACCAGATGTTCTGTCACTGAACTGTTTACACGTTTTTGCTCTCCTTTTACCAGCCAGGCTGGGTAGTGTTCACGAGCGTGTTTTCCAAGTTGGCGCATGGTACGGCCGATGTACTCAGCTCCACAAGAGCAAGTGAACTGGTATATGCATGTTGAGGTGGCCCAATGCGACAACTTGTCTTTCGCGTTCTGGTTGAACTGTTTCTTGCAGGAAAACGTCAGTCGTAGGCTTGCGGCGAAGTATGTTTTCCTCAGCGATTTGGAGAGGCGTTTGCGAAGGATTTCTGCTTCGATATCACCTTTGAATTCTAGATTAAGCAGAAGTATTTTCTTTGGGACGGATTGGACTTGTTCAGAAGTCTTCTTCGGTTTGAGATTCTTCTCTATGAACCTGGGCGGGAAACCGTTTTCCATCAGGGTTTTTCGGAGACTACGCAGTTCTTCTTCGATCACTTCCTCGCTGCATATCTTCCGAATCCTCGAGGAAAGAGCGTGTATCAGGTTCCTCTTTCTGCTTAGCAGTACGAAGCTTTGAAAGTTGATGAATTGTCCAGTCCATGTAGGCTTTTTGTATATGGACCCTTTCAAAGAGTCGTTGTCATTTCTTGTCAGATGGACGTCCAGGAAGTGGAACATTCCGTCGGATTCGGTTTCAAGTGTAAAGTTGATGTTTGGGTGGGCGTTGTTGAAGATTTGAAGTAGGTTTTCAAGGTCTAGCTTCTCATCACAAATGATGAAAGTATCATCAATGTATCTCTTGTAGAGATGAAGGTCGTCGATAGTTGATGATAACGGGTTGTTTTCGAGGCTGGCCATAAAACAGTTGGCTAGGAGACGCCCGAATTGAGAGCCCACTCCTACGCCATCTGTTTGCCTGTAGATTTCATCATTGAATCTGAAGTAGACGTTGAAGGTGCAGCGTAGTAACAGCTCCTTTAGATAATGCATCGGTATGCCGACATCTATGCTGTTGCATTGAATGAAGTCACACAGAAAGCATATAGTTTCTGTCAGAGGAACATTGGTGAACAGAGAGACGACGTCTAGGGAGACCATTTTTTTTATTTGCCAGGTTGACATTTTTAATTGAATCCACAAAATCGAATGTGTCGCGGAGATTGTATGTAGACAACTTTTCTTTCACTGGTCCAAGAATTTCTACCAGCCACTTCGCGACTAGGTGATATGGCGAATTGAAATACAAAAACCTTTATTAAAATTAATAGCATATACCACCCAATGCCCAAACTGTTTTTTCAAACCGTTAAAAGTGAACTTGGTTTGCGGACATATATATAACTATAGAGGCCTTACTTGATTGAATGTTGCATAGGTTCGTTTCAAGCCAGCTCGAATGCCTTGAGGAGGTTCATTGGTAAACTTTATCGAAGTTTGTAAGAATGAAATCGGGAATTGTGGATGCACTTCAGTTGTCACCCATATTCGAAATTCTGGATGAATATGTTCCATGTCAGTGATTTGATTTAATAATTCTGCTACATAACTCAATGACAAGTGACAATTTTGCAGCATTATCCAACCACCGGATAGAAGCAGATTGTTCACCAATCGTCTAGCATGAATTTCTTGACCTTGTCCCATTGAAATTGTCTTACAATCAACCTTGAAAAAAAGAAACAAGACTTGTTAATAATAATAATTTGCTTTATTCCAAAACAGTACTTGTGAACACAGAATGGAATCGACTTCACCGACCCCTAGATTAGAAATAGGAAGTGAAGTGGTTGGCGGAGCACGTTGACCGCCTCACTTACTTGGGAAGTACAATCAGCCAGTGCCAACGGGTTGATATCTGACGAAATTTCAGTATGGATACAGAGGGCTAGTTTCGCATATGCCAGTTAACGCCGTCTCTGGCGTAGACGCGATATCCGACTATCGACCAAAGGGCGTGTGTACTGCTCAACAGTCCGCTCCGTCCTCCTTTATGGCTGTGAGACTTGGCCATTGACAGTGGAAGACATGAAAAGGCTGATTAGCTGTCTTCGATCATAGGTGTCTACGTTCTATCTCCTGTGTGAAGTGGTATAATATGGTGAGCAACATTGAGGTTAGGCGTCGAGTGCTAGGTGAGGCAGGGAAATCAATCGACGAGGCTGTGAAGCAGTTACATCGACTGAGATGGTTAGGACATGTGTTACGTATGCATCCCTGGCCATTGCCTTCCTCGACAATGGGCAATGTTAGCTGACATAGGATTGGTCAGGCTGGAAAAGAGCTAGCGGCGGTCAAACCAAAACATGGCACCAGTCAATGAAATCCACAACGGTTAGTCTATGCCACGTAGGAAGGTGTAGACTTCCTGACTGGTTGGGGTCCCCGGGACGGTAAAAACCAATGGTTGGAAACAATTGGTGACATGGCTCAAAATCGTTCTCAGTGGTGCAGATGCATCCACTCCTTGTGACTTATGATTTCAGATGAAACTCTTTTGTCCTTCGTTATTACTATTCCTTTCTCACACCTCTGTTTACTGTCTCTATTATGCATTTCTCCTACTTTCTTATCTTTCTTTGTGTGCTACATGGAGTGTGGCGACTTGAACTATTACTATATTAATAATAATAATTTGCTTTATTCCAAAACAGTACTTGTGATACAGAATGGAATTCTCAGCATTTTTTACTACAGTATTTTATCCAGTTTGTGTACATTATCAATAAATAGAATTCTACATAGATTAAGGAAATCTCAGTTCATTATAATAACAACACATTGGCATGTCGGTAGCAAAGCCAAAGTTGAACAGAATGTTTGAAGGTGTTAGAAAAGTAGGAGCTGTCATATTTACTGGCGTAAGCGAGAGAAAGAAACAAAGCAGCACATAACGGAAAAAAGAGAAAAAAGAGAGAGAAAAGGAAAAGAAAGAAAGAAATCGTTGTACCTATAAATGATATGAGTTGGAAAGACGAGGTCCAGTTGTTCTACTGACTATTTAATGAATTATAGGTGTCACGCCTAATGCTTTCTTTATCGCACAGAACACGAGCTTAGTAGGGTATGGCTGAGTTTTTGTACTTGCTGGTGCGAGCATATAGTTTTCTATATAGGCTTCTGGTCCTGCCTGATGTGATACAAGGGGAGAGTTGTGAATGAAGAGGATGGTGTGAGTTAGATAGAATGGATTTAGCCCATTTTTCACATAAGTTCAAGTGCCTGCCTGTCGACCAGAGTATTAACAAGCTGGTTAAGTGGCCTACCCTGCTGACAACCTTTAACATCCTGCGTAATAAGATATAGTCTTTCTTCAGTAGAAGGTAAGACGGAATATTTTCTTAGAAATCGCCAAGATATGAAACGACCAGGAAAGATCAGCAGATAGAATGACGCCTATGTATTTAATTTCCGACTTGGTTTCTATTTCTGTTAATAAAAAAATGCGTCGCAAAGACTGTCGTCTGTAGTCCTAGAATGGTATTTATGAACATTTTCATCTACTTGGTCGTAAACCCGGAAAAAAAGAGGAAAAGTTGGGCAAATAAATGGTGGCTAGGAACTGCAGACAATACGTTATTAAAACAAACCCTTGTGACTAATTGCAAGTGATAAACGAAACAGGATTAGATTAGAAATGGGTTAGAGAGGTGACCAGATGAAGTATGCGCTGAAGGAAGATGTCGCCTGCCTAGTAGGGCGATGAAAGCTTCGCAAATTAACTATCCAGCTAGCTCAGAGAACACAACCACATCAAAATCATCCACCTGAACTACAAATCTTCTCCATCATATCCAAATCCATAACACTCCTGAAATACTTGGAGATGTATTGGCCTCTACAACAGAATAATTTTGTTTTGATCATACATATTGTTATGTAGTACTATTTTCTCGTTGATGACGATGGCTGGAGACTGTCGTTGACATGTTCTAAAATCTCCTGGGACGGAGAATATATCTTCACTACTTATTTATATAACTTCGTATAACATCGCTTGTATTGTGTGCATAGATCTACGCTAGTAGATCATGATAAATGTCGAGCATCAGACCTGTCTGTCTACACAGGTGATATAGAGGAAAATCTTTAGAAGTTTTACTTCTCGCAACAAGTCAGTATCATTAAAGTCAGTTTGACGGTAAAAATAATACTGAGCATTCGACATATCCTGCCTTATTATTATTATTGTTTCCTTTAATTCCTAGAGGAACATAGGGCTTCAGCCGTGCGTCTCCATTGCGTTCGGTTCTCTGCTAGAGTCTTCACCTGGCTCCAAGTCACCCTTGCACTGACGACCAACTCGCCGCTTCCCTTTCGGGTTCCACTCGAGCAATGGCTTGTCTAGTGATGTCACTTGATGGTTTGTTTTCTCAGAGTATGGCCAATCCACCTCCATTTCTTCCTGCCTATTTGTTTCACAATCGGTTCCTGCTGTGTTGGTTTGCTCATTGCCAGAGATCTCTGTTGCTGATCTTTTCTGGCCATCTGATCTTGGGCGTTGAGCGAAGACAACTACCTGTTGATGAAGGTCTGTAGTTTGTTTGAGATGCTCTTTATGACGCGCTGGCCAAGTCTCTGATCCGTATAGTAGCACTGACTTCACATTGGAGTTGAAAATCCGGATCTTATTTTTCATGCTGAGTGCTGTTCATCTCCTCCACACAGACTTGAGAGTAATGAAAGCTTGTCTTGCTTTTCCGATGATCCTTGCTTTGATATCCTCGTCAGTTCCATCCGCTTGTAGTTGAAACGATGCTTCCCAGGTAGGTAAAGGAGGTTGTTTCTTTCAGGTTCCTTCCATTTATGCTGGCTGATTGTTGTCTGTTGTTGTTGTTCTTGTAGTGTTGCCCAGGAATCTTCATCACCTCTGTTTATTCTATGTTCACCTGAAGCAATTCCTATCTTCTCTGGATGCTTCTTCTGCCAACTTGTTGCTTTTCACTTGCATATCTTCCAGTTTGTGGGAAATCAGACATATATATCACATAGGCGAAGTCCAGATCCTCCAAGTCGTTTTTGTGTGAGTCCATTTTATGCCTGTTTCCTCGTTGCCTGGCCCGCTGTTTGTCGCATTATCCAATCTACTGCAATCAGGAAAATCATTGGCGATAGTAGGCAGCCCTGTCCTGCTTACATTTTCTCTATTATTAAACATTTATAACTGAAAACAGTGTTAAATTCTGGTGACTTCTGTGATTATCATTATTATTTTCACGCTAAAAACCGATTTAATGTCTTATTTCGAACAATAATTCTTTGTATCTATGCTCACTGTAGCAGCCTGACATGCTATCAAACGAAGATGGAAAGTTAACATTGTTAACATCGATTCTGTTTGTTTTTTTTTTTTTCGTTTTTCGGTTGACTGATACGACCGGGGTATGTTTGGCCTCGGTTCTTTCGATTCTAGTCTAATCTCCTAGTTCATGAACTCATTCGCGTACTTCATAAACCCGGTTTTTTTACCTAGAAAAGATTGCTGGTGTGCGTTAATTAATGCGTTGAAAAGGCGGTCGTCAGTGTAGTCCTAGAATGTAAAACAGGTGACTGTGATTTAGTAAAACTACCATATATATTCACAGGTACATGCAATTTCTAATTGCTCATTAATGACTCAGACTCGGTGGGGATAGTAAAGAAAAAGGGTGCAGACGTGAAAACAATACATATATATTAGATTTTCTGTAGTTTGGTTTGTAAGGATTAGTTTTGTTTTTACGAGTTCAACCACGCACGGATTGATATCAGTTAGAGAAGCATTGAAAACCAGCCACAGGGACTACAGCCAGACAGCGCTGTTTCATCAGCCTAGTTTTGGAATCATCGGCAGTACGCACCCACAACAACGGGTTCGAACCCAGTACCTTCCGGTTCTCTATAACTGATATCAATCCGTGTGTGGTCAAACTCGTAAAAAAAACAAAATTTAATCCTTACAAACCAAACTATTGAAAATTAATCTGATGCTCGCTAATGAGTGACTTGCTACAGGACAGAGTTTCCTGGAGACAGTCAGTTCTAGTGAGAAGTCATGACCATTGTGAGGTCCAACCAGTAGTCAAGTGTGAGGATCGAGTTCCCACCGATGACATTAGTTGGCGCAAGTCGCGCTAAATGCATCACGAATTGTTCGAAGTTAGAATTTATGGGTTGACTGGCCATTGAATCGGGTGGGTCCCAGTGAGTGGCTGAATGGTATACGAGACAGCTAGCTTGCCTTGTAACGGGGAGGTTCCGTGTTCGAACCCATTGTGGTGGGTGTGTACTGCCGATGATTCCCAAACTAGTCTGATGAAACAGCTGTCTGGCAGTACTCCCTGTGGCTGGTTTTCCAATGCTTCTCTAACTGATATCAATCCGTGGTCAAACTCGTATAGATAAAATTATCACTATTAATATAATAATATCAGTGGTGTGATGTAAGCACAAAAGTAGTATTAGTGAAAAATACTTAGGTAATGAACAAGTTAGCAGAGTGGGATGAAAAGTTCGAATAACTCAAGCTGTTCACCAAATTTGAAGCACAATCCCCTAGTCACAAACTCTATCCTTTCTTATACCTCATTTGAGAATAAATTTAACAAGATCTACTAACTACTTCACAGAGTAAATCAGGTGCATCTATTTTATTATACAAATAGAAAAGAATCATTTTATTTCGTGTATATTCAATCAATTAACTAATTTAAGACAGTAATTCTGCTTTTCAGATGAAGAAAATTTGTTTAAAAACTGCATACTACTTAATTAAATAATCAGTAAGTATTTAATGTATGAGAAAAGTTTCTGAACTTCGAACAAACTCAGTGTAATTTTTGATTGCACACTAGTCAGTAACTAGTGTAATGTGTCTAGTCCTATCTTCGGTGCAGACTGAATTCTATCAGTCAGTCATGTTTGCAATGTGGCCACCATGCCACTAGGGGGCTCGCCATTACGGTGCACTGCGAATTGTTGGTATTAAATGGTCGGAGGCAATCGGCAGGAAGCCATGCTTGACCTGGGTGACGCGAGTTCGAATCTCAGAAGTGACATGAGCTGTCCCTTCAAGGTTGCAGATACGCCTTGATGACTGGTGAGTGCCAACTAGCACGAAACCTAGGTCAAGCAAGGCTTCCTGTCGATTGCCTCCAACTATCTAATACAAACTGAGTGTAAAAATGTCACTTCAGAGTGTGAGACATGGTAGTGTCGAAAATAGGATTTTGTTTTTTACTGAGTCCTTGTGTGTCTTATTTGATGTATTGATTTTTTATTCATCATAGCCCAAGTAATTGAGGGTAGTACTAGGCACAAAGGCATAAATTACTTAACAAAAATGCAAGTAAGGCGATTAGACTTGCGCCAATCTTATAATAATGCTGTTGTTTGTGAGTAGTATGTGCGCCCACAATTTCACTTAGCAAAATAAATGAACAAAAGAAACTATAAGGTCTGGTTAACACACACAAAAGGTGTGACAACACTGCAACTAATCCACTTCTCAGACCTAGATATGATGGAGAAGATTTGTCACTCAGGTGGATGATTTTCATGTGGTTGTGAAGCTTTCATCACCCTACTAGGCAACATCTTCCTTCAGCACATACTTCAATTTGAAGAGAAGTAAGCTTTTAGATTTCTCCACGAGTTTATTAATCATCTCTCCTAGTGAGTGGCCTTGGATGTGATTGGTTGTTTTTGTGTGTTTTCATACCCTCTAGGCTACTTGTGTTGATGTTGGAACTGATTGTTTCTTTGACTTGAACTTTGACACTTTGTGTGTGAGGTTTCCTTCTTATCGGTTTTGTGGATTTCGTCTATCTCGATGTGTCTATTGATTGATGATTCACTGGGATACCAGGTAGGCTTCTAAAAATTCTCTAGCATTCTTGGTGTTGTTTCCTCTGTCTAATACACGAACTTTGGTTATCCCAGTCGAGTTGATGTTCGTGGTTGTCTGTATGTGAAAACACACAAAAACAACCAATCACGTCCAAGGTCGCCAGGAGAGATGATCAATAAACTTGTGGAGAAATCTAAAAGCTCACTTCTCTTCAAATTGAAGTATGTGCTGAAGATGTCACCCAGCAGGGTGATGAAAGCTTCGCAAATTAACTATCCAGCTCAGAGAACACAACCACATCAAAACCACTTCTAAGACCTTATTATGAAAAACAGCCTGCTTTCTTCCTGGGTGTTCATCATACAACAACCAAACAAACCCACGCTTTGTATCCAAAAGAAATACGTCCAAAGCCTTTCCCTGCAATGGACATCATAAACAGGTATATTTTTTTAATAATGAACATCCCATTGCCTTTCTTATCTAAACTTCCTGTTTATTCATGTTATTTAAATTTTTTCTTAATCCCTCTTATTTACACTACCATATTTTCATGTCCACACTTCCTGTTTATTTTGTCATTTTACTATTTCTACATATTTAATCCCTGATTGCATAAACAATTATTCATCATATTAGTTTTTTATCCAAACAGCCTGTCTATATATTTTGTTATTTCTACATTTCTAACCGCCAATTGCACAATGTCAATCTTCTTAGTTATTAAGCTACTTTGTTTGAGTTTTATCCGTCACCCTCCTGTTTATTATGGCATTCTAATTCCTAATTGTAATTTTTATTAATTTGACCCCTAACCGGAAATTATTCTGGAACTTTCCCATCCACCATTTGATATAAATACACGAATGTACAGCCTAGTTGACGGTGACTTCGTCGAAAAGGAAATTTTCTTCCTCGCTGCAATTGTCTTTTTAACAATCATAAAACAACGAAAAACAACAACACAAGGTTGAAGTTAAAACACGGTGGGGCAGTATATATAAACCAGAAACCTACTCTGTACTTTTTAGCTAACAGCTCTATTTGCGGCGTTGGATCTGACCCCGTACTTAGTAATCCAACCATAGGCCAAAGTGGTGTTGACTCTTGGTATACGCCATCCAAATCAAGGACAAAACCTTCAGCAAACTTTTTACCTAAAGTATCCCCAACATAAATATTCGCCTGGTTCATAATACGATCTGGACACCAGGCACGAATAAGCAATAGGCGTCGAAATGTATCTACACGTGACTGATAACCATCAGGGATGACTTCCAATTCTGGTGAGGATTTTTCAATCCATTGACGCCAACCACGTTCATTGTTCACTACCTGGTCGAGGATACTGGCGAATTGATTCAAATTTGATAAAGCGACTAAATTCAACCAGGTCATGTCTGTGATCCATTTGAACGGTTTCGGTTTCACTGTATTCATATCCAATGATGCACCACCTAAGAGAAAAAAGAAAAAAGGCAAGAAGTAATTTCAACATAATTACGTATTTAATTGGTGGATGTACCTGCATTTCTCAGTGAGTGATGATGTTCCCCGCACCGAGGCTCGAACCCAGTGCCCATAGTTTCAAACACCAGCAGCCAAAGCGTTATCCACTAGACCACTTGGGCCACGAGAGCCACCCTACTTCTTGTGCAACAGGTCATATTGATTTAATTGAATTTTAGATTTTCCCGTCGATTGATTGATTGGACCGAAGTGGTGCTCGGTCTCAGGTTGACATGTCTGTTGGCTTCTTGAGCAGATACTTCGACGATCGATGTCTGGGCATTTAATTAGTATTTAATTGGTGGATGGTGACTAGCCGTGGAACATCCAGCTGAAAACTGGATTCCACTGCTAGTCACCATCCACCAATTAAATACTAATTAAATGCCCAGACATCGATCGTCGAAGCATCTGCTCAAGAAGCCAACAGACATGTCAACCTGAGACCGAGCACCACTTCGGTTCAATCAATCGACGGGAAAATCTAAAATTCAATTAAATTTCAACATAAATTTAAACTTTAGGAATAAATAAATAAATAAAAGGGGCAAATTCAGCGAAGAAAATTTTCTCTTTATCGACGAAATCATCTTCACAGGCTGGCTGGCTGTACAGTCGTATTTATATTTTAACTGATTAAAAATGCCCATTAAAATTTTCAAAAGAACAGTTACTGAACAAAGAAAAAATACTCTTTTCGATAACTTCATCATCATCAGGCTCTACAGTTATATATCCATCCATTATAGTGAATGAATGAATTAGTGTTATGAACAACATTAATGTTGCTGTTTAAATAACATCGAATCAATAATAATAATAATACCAATGGATTACAGTTCAATAGCATCAACATAACAATAAACTGAATGTCAGTTGAATTAGGAAAGATAATATTACAAATTCATGAATTTATAGTCTCTACTGAAGGCCAGGGCAGTAGTAGCGGCTAGCTGGTTGGACTTGCTTCTTCTGCACACAGAGTCACTGGTTGTTTGAGGCGAATTGCAATAGCCTCTGCTGTTTGGAGCATGCGGTGCTTCGATGATGATTTTGGCAATTTATTTGACACCCGGTAGATGATGATAGAGAAGGATTCTTCCACGCTGGCTGGCTTTGTGGCCGGCCGGTTTGCACCAGATGGTCTAATATCGAACTGTTAATGGTTTTCACTACACCTCTACTTAGCAATAGTGGGAGATGTTCTTGAGCGAGCACGAAAAATCAAGTTCCTAGAGCGACAGCCAATATAACTCGCTCCACCCGCACGAACGCAGTAGAATTGGCAGATACAATTTGAAGTGGCTAGCTAGTCTAGGTACTTCATCTTTCAGTCGAGGTAGCACCATCGGTCGTGTAGAGAATAAGACGTGTAGTTCGCCGCCAGCATTAAAAGTTCTTTGAACTGATTTTCTTAATTTCTTCGTAATTATCTCACTTGGTATATCTATCGCCCTTGAATTGCAGTCGTATATAAAGAGGCTTCTTGTTTGCAGATAGTGGGTAGTCCTTTTCGGCTTTCTTTGTCATATGTTTCTTGATAAATTTGCCAGGATAACCATTTTCGAATAAAGTATCATATATACAATGCTTAATTCATCTTCAATTACTTCTTTTGAGCATATAGCTCTAACTCTGTGGCTGAGGGTCTTTACTAAATTTCTTTTGTACTTGAGAGGAACGAAGCTGTGAAAATGTGTGTATATTGCCCTGTCCAAGTACTTTTTCTATACAAATTTCTTTTTGTGCTACCATCCAGGAAGGCAATTCATTCTGTTTTGGGATTCCTCTTCGCATGTGAATTTCCTAGCCGAATGTACTTCATTGAATTCAGTAATTATTGTACTCCTATCCGAATCATCGGTATTTATATATACCAAAAATATATATAGTGGTCTATTATTGAGTAATAGGGGTGGGGTGACATAATTGATATAATTACTCAGAAGTGGCTTTAGAAGTAAGAAAGAAATTAAAAGTTGTAAATTACGTGGTACTCAACGGCACAAACATAGAAATTTGATAAGGTTAAAATTGCTATTGAGTGAGAGAGAATAAAGGTGGTAGTTGAGTGTCCAAGTGTGAACAAGTGTGAAGAGGGTGTGAAAATGTACAAAAGGAACATATGAGAGTGATAATAGTGAATTAATTATTAAAGTAAAAGCAAACTAAAAGTACAATTGAAAATTTTAAAAAAACGAAAAAACAAAATTTTTTTACAGGGAACGACTAGTGAAGAGGTTAAGACCAAGGTTATATTGACGAATTGCCAGTGCCTCCACCATACACAAAAGCCGGAACGTGACGCTCTTTGTACCATTTGGCCTCACCTTGTAGATAATCTTGAAAGACGACTCTGGTGGAGCTATGTGGCCTGAGTTCACCAAATACTCGAGAATTGAGCTAGTAATTGTCTTGCATTGTCCCTTTGCTAACCATGCCGGATAATGTTCAGAGATGCGTTTGGAAAGTGTTCGCCAAGTTGTGAGGTCAATTTAACTAGCTCCACACGAGCAGGTGAATTTATAAACACACACACTGAAGTGGCCCGTCCTAAGCGGTAGTTTATCCTTCACACATCCATTGATCATTTGTCGGCTTTACAAGCTAATCCGTAGCTCAGCCGGTAAGATGGCTTTCCTCGGTGACCTGCATAAGCCGTTCTTCAGGATCTCAGCTGCGGTATCACCTTTAAATTCAACACTCATAAATAGCAGTTTCTTCGGCCTCGTCTGGATTCTTTCAGGCTTTTCCCTTAACTTCATGTTTTTCTCGATAAATCTTGGAGGATATCCATTCGCTATGAGGACTTGTCTGAGTCGCCCCAGTTCCCCGTCGATTGTATCACTGGAATATATCCTTCTTATTCTTGAGGATAAGGAGTGGATCAGGTTTCTCTTATATACCACTTTTTTTCATATCCGAACTTCCTGTCTATTTTGTTATTTTATTATTTCTACATATTTAATCCCTGATTGCATAAACAATTATTCGTCACATTAGTTATGATCCCACTAGATTCTTTTTGTTATCCAAACATCCTGTCTATCTATTGTTGTTATTTCTACATTTCTAACCCCTAATTGCACAATCAATGTCAATCTTCTCAGTAATTATGATGCTACTTTGTCTGAGCTTTATCCGTCCCATCTCCCTGTTTATTATGGCATTTTAATTCCTAAATGTAATTTCATTAATTTGACCCTTGACCAGAAATTATTCTGGAACTTCTCCCCCCATATTTATTATAAATACACGAATGTACAGCTGTCTAGTTGACGGTGACTTCGTCGAAAAGAAAATTTTTCTCCCTCGCTGCAACTGTCGTTTTATTATTCCCTATGATCAAATGTGCCCATTCCGTGATTTGAAAAAGTTCAGAATATATTTTAATTTCATCAGTCATCGACTGACTACTCATCAGCGTCGGTGGCACAGAGGTTATGACTCTTGACGATCATGCACATGGTCCGGGGTTCGATCCCCTGCCGACGCACACTGGATATCCATGGTCGGCCTGCCAAATTTGGGCTGCCGATATCACTTCGCTACTACGGGGTGCCACCGACAATTATACATCTCATCCAACAGCTGTACGACAATGCTGCATGCCAAGTAATCCACAACGGGAAACTTACGGAATCCTTCGAAGTGAGGACAGGAGTAAGACAAGGCTGGCTGGCTGCTACTATCGTCAATGATTATCCTGATTGCGACAACGAGGAAACAGGCATAAAATGGACTCAAAAATGAGACTTTGAGGATCTGGACTTCGCCGATGATATATGTCTGATTTCCCACAAATTGGAAGATATGCAAGCGAAAAGCAACAAGTTGGCAGAAGAAGCATCCAGAGAAGATAGGACTTCAGGTGAACATAAAACAGAGGTGATGAAGATTCCTGGGCAAGACCAACACCAACAGCAACAATAGCAACAGACAACAATCAGCATAAATGGAAGGAACCTGAAAGAAACAACCTCATTCACCTACTTACCTAGGAAGCATCGTTTCAACTACAGGCGGATGGGACTGACGAGGATATCAAAGCAGCGAGGATCGGTAAAGCATGACAAGCTTTCACTACTCTCAAGTCTGTGTGGAGGTCAACAGCACTCAGCATCAAAAAATAAGATCCGGATTTTCAACTCTGAGGAAACCATCAAGTGACATCACTAGACAAGCCATTGGTCGAGTGGAACCCGAAAGGGAAGCGGCGAGTTGGTCGTCGGTTCAACGGTGACTTGGAGGACGTCATGTGAAGAGGAGATGAAAACGTGTGGGCAGACATGGAGCCAGGTGAAGACTCTAGCAGAGAACCGAACGCAATGGAGACGCACGGCTGAAGCCCTATGTTCCTCTAGGAATTAAAGGATACAATAATAATAATAATATCACATGCTGAAAATTCCATACCTGTACCAAAAAATACGGTGTGGAATCAAGCTGTAATCAAAAAAAATATATATATATATAAATATTGTCAAAGAGAATAATAAAGATACCTTTGATAAAATAATGAAATTCCTCGTGTCTAACTCGTCCAGCTTGCATATCAATTTTCAGAGCCAATAGAAGAGAAAAGGTTGACTTGTCCACTTCATACAGGCCACGGATCACATATCTCCAGACATCGTATGTCATATAGTCGATCACATTCGTGATACGTTTTGAAGTGACTGGTGATTTTTCAGACCTGAAATATAAACATAATTTGACATACACACACAGAAAGAGTTAAACTGCCCAAAAGATGATAACTTGGATTGATGATTCTTCTTCTCACCAAAAGTGCTCCTTCCCCTTAACCCTCTTGACTTTCTTTTCCTTTGCTTATTATTACTATTATTAAATTTGTTCGCTGCACCTTTCTAGATTATACATCTGCTTTCGACTCAGTACCTAGGGACATTTTACTAAACAAGCTTGCTGAAACTCAAACTGACTGTTGGGTTGTCAAATGGCTCCATTCTTATTTCTCAGAAAGAAAGCAATACACTGTATGTCAGGGAAAGCCGTCCACTTCATTGCTTACTGAGGCTGGTGTCCCTCAAGGCGCTGTCCTTTCTCCTTTTCTCTTTTCTTTCTTCTTGCATGGCTTGCCTCACTCAGATGAAATGAACTTTGTTAAGTATGCCGATGATCTAACTATTTCAATGTCTGTTAACTCTCAACTTGACTGTATTAAGATTAACAACTTTCTATCAGGAATTAGCAAATGGTCTTCGTCTAACGGCCTTAAACTTAATCCTTCCAAATGTCAGACTGTTAATTTCAGTTTCCGATGTAAACGAAAGTTAAATGAAGCCGTTGTTTCCTATGACCCTTGCAAAATCGATGATACTGATATAGAAACCCAGTCTGAAGTTAAGTATCTTGGATTAGTTCTCTCTTCTGACCTATCTTGGTCTTCTCATGTCTTAGCGATTTCTCAAAGAATATTTCGTCTGACTTTTTACATTAAGAAGTTGAGGCACTCAGGCATAACCCAACCACTCCTCTTACAGTTTGTCAACTCGTCTATTTTACCTATTCTTCTTTACTGTTCACCCTTATTCTTTCCTGGATTGCTAAAAAAAGGACTATGTCATACTTCGTAGAACTCTTAAGACTGTCAGTAGGACGAGTGGTATCCCGTTGGGCCATATCGTTGGCACTGTCACCGACAGGCATTTGATATCATGCAACAGATTCGCTAGAGGAATTTTGTCAGACTCTGAGCACCCACTCTACCAGCAGCTCCAACCTTGTGTCTCCTCAGGTAAAACAGCAAGTCTTTTCAGAAGACTTTATGCACGTACGTCTAAGTATAAAAATTCCACTATTCCATATTTAGCACGTACTCTATGTGATGAAAATAGTGTCAGAAATGAACTAACTAACCTTCTTAGCACCACTAAATAGACCATTTCCTTCAACCTTAAAGCATCATACTATATTGTTATTGTGTTTCTTATATTTATGATCCTCTCAATTTTTTCGTTTTGTTTATTTTATTTTTCATAAGTGTAGACATAATTTTAAGCTGTATTATGACTGTTAACTTTGTATTTTCCCCTCACTATATTATATCAACAGAACATTAGACCCAATTATCCATAACATGCTAAAGTTTCCAAACTGAATCGACAATACCGTTTGAAACAAACTCACTGTTATTAGTATTTATTATTATTATTATATCTAATAATTATGTCGTTAATGTGGGCAAATTCCTCCGATTAATTTTTGTTTAAATTTTTAATTTTATATACACTTTGAGTAAATCAGATGCAAGATGTTGTGACAAATGCTGAGAATTCCATTCTGTATTATAAGTACTGTCTGTTTTGGAATAAAGTAGATTATTATTATTATTATCAATATTATTATTATTCGTCATAATTTATGCCCTTCATGCAAACATTCTCTCAATACTATCGAATATTTCATTTATACTATCCGGACATATTACTATTAGTGATATTATCTCTTTTCTCAATATATGCCTCCACCTGTTGCTTCATTTCACACATTCTTTATTTCATTATGAACCACCTCTCATTGCAGTCTTACTATCTATCTCCTGTTTAACACAGACCACTTTGTACTAGCCACTCAGTCACCTGACACCTTTTACGACCTTGAACTGACCGACTGGTCAACTTTCCTACCCCGCACTCTACAAATCTATTATGACTAATCGCCATCATTGTCTCCCATTTTACAAAATTTTGTAATCGAATTCAGCCCAGTGCACGTTTGTGTGACACTCAAATACGACTATTTATTTTGACACCCCATAACTGCTAATCTGTTATTCTACGTTAAGAAAAAAATGTATCTGCCGCATAAATGGCCATCATTATTGTAACGCCAACAAATACGTTATATTTTATAATTATAAGAACCTGAATAGGAGAAATTATTGAAAAGAATATTCTTCGTTCAGATTGACTTCTAATATACCTATATCTCAAGAAAAAATCTCGGAATAAACACTATCCTATGAACTACAGTTTGACCAATAAAAAGCATTAGCCAGTTAGAGGTAGACACCATGATAACACATAGATGAAATAGACGATATAACATGGACGAATTGCATGTCAACAGGTCGAGCAACAAATTAGCCAATCGCATAATTTTCTGCCCACTACCTGTAAGATCAATTCGCTTCCCATCCTTGAATCAAGTCAACCTGTCCCGGATCAGCCTAGCATTGTTGCAACCCAATTATCCATGCCTAACGTGTCTATCCCACCTTGTTTAATGAACTGTGTGTGCGTTTTTACATCGATCCGTTTAGTCAGACCGTTGAACTCATGACCCAATCAGAGTATTTTTGTAAACTGTTATTTTTGCTGACCCATGTCTTACTTTGCACTATTCTGTCGAGTTTATTTTATTTATCGATTGGTTAAGTAGCCAAATAAATTCTATCTTTGTGCCTATGCTCTGTCTATCTCTTACTTGGGTTCATTCTTCTACTGACTGCTCACCTGAACGGTCGTGTCTGATTCCGGGTAGTTCGAAATTTTGGCTTTAACGTTATTCCGCTCTGATAGCGGTTCCTTGCTTTCTGTTAAGCGTTGTGTTTTGTACTCTTGAAACCGTTAAGGTTTCTTGTATATATAAATATTGATTTGTTTGTTAATAGTAGCGTAGAAACAGTGCCTGGCTTCTTGTTTGTTCTGGACCGGGATAGCCTTTATCTACGCGTGACTTAATTTCAAGCGATATTGCGCTTACACACTACCTCTATTTAAAAGTATGAAACAGGGCGATCGATGACTACTTCGTCATTGTTGCGTCGGAACAGTCATCCCCACTTGTAGACAAAATATTCAGACAGGATATCTATCCATTATGTGTTTCGTGACTGAATTGTGAACATCGGAATATACCCATTAAGACATTGAAATAAGAACAAAGTAGTTCAGCGAAGAGTCTCTTTTCGGCGAATTCATTCACTTAGCTGTACAGTCGCAAATATATACAATTAATTTTGTGTGTGTGTGTGTACATTAGGTTTGTCAAAGTCAAAATTAAAATAACAGTTAGTGTGGGTTGTTGATTATATCATCAAAATAATGAAGAAGTTAAAATGTGTGATTAATAATCAAAGTTGTAACGACTGACATTTTCCTCCCGGCCATTGTTCTTCAACTACTCTAAAGATAAACTATCGCATTTGACCACTTCCATGTGTATCCACCAATTCACCTGCTCTTGCGGAGCGAGGTATATAGGTCGTTCGATGCGTGTTTTATCTAAAAGAGTTCAAGAACACTATCCCGCCTGGCTACGGAAAGGTAACAATGGAGCAATAAGGAGCGCCATTATTGAGCATATACTCAACACTGGTCATTCGATTTGCAAGGAGAAGTCGTTCAAAGTCATCTATAAAGTCAAAAGAAGCCTTCCAAAATCGACAAGCTTCCGTATACTTTGTATTGCTGAAGCCTTAGCGATTTGGATGGAAAAGCCTGAGTTATGCACACAGAAGAAACTTCTCCACCCCTTCCCACTACCGTGGGTTTAATTTCAAGTTTATTTGTCATCAACATTTTGTTATCAAATTTTCGCAATTTTTCGTAACTAACCCATTCATTCTTTTCACCTATTATCTAGTTTATTTTCATAATTGTCTCCATACTCCTTCACTAACATTTAATCTTTCTAAAGATGTCTATATTACGTAACCCTACTCACATCTTACCAATCTTCACCCCACTTAGTTACAACTTTGATTATTAATCACACATTTTAACTTCTTCATTATTTTGATGATGTAATCAACAACCCACACTAACTGTTATTTTGATTTTGATTTTGACAAACCTAATGTACACACACACACAAAATTAATTGTATATATTTGCGACTGTACAGCTAAGTGAATGAATTCGCCGAAAAGAGACTCTTCGCTGAACTAATTTGTTCTTATTTCAACATCGGAATATCCGTAAATTCTTGGATTTCAATGGTGAAATGAAATCATCACTAAAATGACAGTAGAGTTGGAAGCGTTTCTCTTCTTTTCCTTTCCTCACTTTCTACTTCCACCCTAATCTCTGGTTTATCTAGGGCCAAGATGACATTCATGACATCCGGTGGATAAGATGTGAATTTATATATGGTGTTCAGATACGTGAACTTTCCTTTTTGGTGAACAAAATCAACGGTCTTAGTACAAGCTTCTTTAGGGTAAATGCTTCACACCCCCTTTAAACTTTTCGAGGGGAAATGCACTGAATTCTTCTAATGACCCATACAGTTCGATGTCATCCGCTATATAATAGTTATAATAATAATAATTTGCTTTATTCCAAAACAGTACTCGTGATACAGAATGGCATTCTCAGCATTTCTCTGCAGTATTGCATCCAGTTAGTACATTATCAATAAATAGAATTCTACATAGATTGAGGAAACCACAGTTCATTATTACAACAATACATTGGCATGTCGGTGGCAAAGCCAAAAGTGAACAGAATGTTTGAAGATGCTTAGAAAAGTAGATACTAGCATATTTACTGGCGTAAGCAGGAGGAAAGAAATAAAGCAGCACATAACAGGAAAAAGAGAGAGAGAAGAGCAAAAGAAAGAAAGAAAACGTTGTACCTATAAATGATATGAGTTGGAAAGACGAGATTCAATTGTTCTACTGACTATTTAAGAAATTGTAAGTTTCCCGCCTAATGCTGTCTTTAT